GTGTGCTCTTCAGAAAGTCCTTTAACAGTCTCTGGACATGGGTATCTCAAGAAAATACACAGCCCATGTTGTAGGAGTTCTTTGTAGCAGAGACACTCTTTAAATGGGGCTAAGAACTAAATGGCAATGATTACCATTTGGTATGGCACTTGATGCAGAGTGCTTCACTGATATTCCTCTTAGAAGATACAACTCTGTTTACATTTCAAATATGAACCATCTAATGTATGTAATTCCTATTTCATTCTCTGGAGTGTAGTGGTTATTAGGATATAAAGTGTTTCAACTTCAGGAATATACAGTTTCCAGGGATACCTATCCCTAGAAAAAAATCCAAATTACACAAAAAATTTGCATACAATTTCAATTCTTCAAAGAAGTCTATAACTCCCCAGGGACCTAGATTAAGAATTTCCAGCAAAGACATCTAGCAGAAAACATTTAATTGGATAACTAAAACAACTTCATGAAGGAAAAAGAATTTAAGACTACCTTTTCTATTGTTTTCTAATATCTCTATGATTACTTTTAGCCTATATAACATACACCTCCGAAGCAAGAAGATGGTGTCCAATAAGCCTTATAAAAACACTTAAACTCTGTTTGTCAAGGGACAGAGGGTCTCTTGTGTGTTATCATCAGTGAACATGTGAAGCAAAGCAACAGGTCCTGTGTCACTTGGGAAAGAGGATTCTCTGGTGGCAATCACTAAAAGTATGTGATACTACTAAAGGATCTTTACTGTCTTTTTTCCCCCATATTGTTGTAAATTTTTCCCAAGCAAATCACAAGTGACTTACCCCTCCAGAAACTCCCTGCCTCTTCTTTTAAATGTCACAGGTAGGGGCTGGGAAGGTGGCTCAGCGGTAGAGCGCTTGCCTTGCATGCTTGAGGCCCTGGGTTCGATTCCTCAGCACCACATAAGCAAAAAGAAAAAAGCCGGAAGTGGCACGGTGGCTCCAGTGGTAGAGTGCTAGCCTTGAGCAGAAGAGCTGAGGGACAGCGCCCAGGCCCAGAGTTCAGGCCCCACGACCAGACCCCTCCCCCCCCCAAAAATTAAATGTAACAGGTAGAAGAGCTAGATATTTAGCACACCGAAGGCCTGATCCAAAAGTATGCTTAAGAAGTAGTTATCAGCTAAGTGCCAGTGACTCATACCTATGATCCTAGCTACTCATAAGGCTGAGATCTGAGGATCATGGTTCAAAGATAGCCCAAGCGGAAAGTCTGTATCTGCAATTAACCACCAAAACGCCAGAACTGGAAGTGTGGCTCAATGGGACAATGTTAAGGGATAGCACCTAGTAGTTGAGTTCAAGCCCCAGTACCAGTACCACAAACAAAAAACAAAGAAAGGAAGAAACTTAAATATACTCCAGCTGGGCACTTGGTGGGTCACACCTGTAATCCTAGCTACTCAGGAAGCTGAGATGAGGATCACAGGGAAGGAAAATTCATGAAACAATTATCTCCAATTACCCAGCAAAAAGCTTGAGAGGAGCTGTAGCTCAAGCAGTAGAGTATAAGCCTTAAGTGAAAAAGCCAAGCAAGAACATGAGGGGCTGAGTTCAAGCACTAGTGTTGGCAGGAAAAACAAAACAAAACAAAACTGAGGAGGGAAGGGATAGTAGGGAAAAAACAAGGGGGTCCCAACGCTCGACAGGAAATGTACTCATTACCTTACTCATATAACTGTAACCCCTCTGTACAGTATCTTTACAATTAAAAAAAAAATTTTTTTTAAGAGAAAAAGAAAAAGAACTAAATATTGTCAAGAAGTTAGGACTTTCAGAGTAATGCTGGCAGGGTGCTAGCACACCCAAAAGCAAGGTACAATCAAGACTCAGATTCAATAGCTGAACACTGCCTTTGTCCTAGTGCTTTCATAAGCTCTCCTCTTTTCCAACCTGGGAAAATGAACCTGCAGCTCAGATGCAATACTGAGTTTGAGAAGCAATATTGAACTTACTTTTTAAACTCACAACACTTTTCTGTTATATTCTTCTATGTTACCTACAACCAAGAGATTATGCAACTTCAATAAGACAAAGTAGAAAATAAAACAAAACTTTCAACTATGGGGATAATGGCTGGTAGAATTTTAGGCAGCGAAGAACATGTTCCTTCTCATGTTTCCTCTGTAGGTAATAAACTGTTCTAAACATTAGCCTGAAGTTAAAAATATGTACTTTCAAGATAGGTGCTGGTGGCTCATGCCTGTAATCCCACCTACTCAGGAGGCTGAGATCTGAGGATCGTGGTTAGAAGCTAGTCTGGGCAGAAAAGTCCAGGAGACTCTTACCTCCAATTAACCAGCAAAAAGCCAGAGTGGTGCTGTGGCTCAAGTGGTAGAGCACTAGACGAGCACAAAAGCTCAGGACAGCACCCAGGCCAGGAGATCAAGCCTCAGAACAAGCGCAAACACACATATCAAAATAAACAAAAAATACAAACCTCTGGATCAGTGACTTTTGCTTTTCAAAGGACATTTAGGAAAGTCTGAGGGTATTTTTCGTTGCAATCACCTGAAGGGTATTGTGAATAGAAGCCAAGGATACTGCTAAACATCCTGTAATACATGGCCCACCCTGTCCCTCATATCAAGAGTGATCTGTCCTAAAATGTCAGTGGTGCTGAGGCTGAGAAACTCTACTATAGGTCCTATGAAGATGTATTTCAAATTTGGTTTAGAGGAAGCACTTCTGCTGCTTGATTTTTCTGGAACAGTAAAAGTGATCTGGATGATGGGAAAAAGGCCACTGCCAGAGATTTCACTGCTTGCTTGAAATATCCTGTAAGCTCTTTGAAAATCTCAGCTGAAGTGAAAGCCAACTCTGAGCAAGGTGTGATATGCTGGGCCCAAAAGGCACCGCTCCGGATACAAAAGGCTTTGGGTGGAGATAGCATTTGTGAGAAATAATATCAAATGCTCATTCTTACTTTAGTACTTACATTAAAATCAGTACTGGAAAATCTTAGGCATTCCTTAAAAGTACTATCTATTGAGGAAAGAGAAAACACTGGGGAATCTGTCAGTACAATAGATTATAGAGTATAATTACAAATATATTTTGGCAATGTGGCCGAATTTGAAAACATTGACAGATAAAATAGAACACAAAAGCAATGAATGATGGAAGACAAGAAAGGAAGGGAAGAAGAATGAGAAAAAGGAATGAAAAAAGGCAATGAAGAAACTTTTCAAGGCTTTCTTTCTTTCCTTCTGTTTTTGTTGGTCATGGGGCTTGAACTCTGGGCTGGGCGCTGTCCCTCAGCTCTTCAGCTCAAGGCTAATGCTCTACCACTAGAGTCACAATGCCACTTCCGATTTTCTGAGTGGTTTATAGGAGATAAGAGTCTTACAGGCTTTCCTGCCCAGGCTGGCTTTGAACTGTGATCCTCAGATCTCAGCCTCCTGAGTAGTTAGGATTACAAGGTGTGAGCCACCGGTGCCCAGTTTTTTGCTTTTGTTTTTTTTTTTTGTGGTGGTCCTCCGTGCTGTCCCTGAGCTTTTGTGCTCAAGGCTAGCACTCTATTATTTGAGTCATAGCTCCACTTCAGCTTTTTTTATTGGGGTGGGGTGGGGGAGGAAGATGTTTAATTGAAGAGTCTCACAACCTTTCCTGAATTTGATCCTCAGATCTCAGACCCGAGTAGCTAGGATTATAGGCATGAGTCACAGGCACCAGGCAGAAATTTTCTTTAATATAAAAACAATGTAGTTATTTTAATATTTAAAATTTTTATCTATATTCAAAAGATAAAATTTGAAGATTATCAGTCAAAATGTCTTCTTCAAAATATTTTTTTTCTTGTTCAGGAGGCTGAGACCTAAGGAATGTGATTTGGAACCAGCCAGGTAGGAAAGTCCTACAGACTCTTGTTTCCAATTAACTAGCAAAAAGCCAGAAGAAGAGATCTGGCTCAAGTGATAGAATATCAGTGTTGAGTAAAACCCCTAAGTTCAAGTACCACTCCTAGCATCAAAAAAATAAAATAAAAAAATAAAATAAAATAAAGGAAAAAAAAGAATAAAAAGATTTCTCTTCTGCACAATTCAGAAGGCTACAGGAAGCCAGGTGATCCAGGATATGACTGCCCAGGTTGACAAGCTCAATTTTACAATAATCAACCTTTGGACTGTCCATATGTATAATGATAAAAGGTGTATTCATTTACCCTGGTATTCTTTATACTTTACAATGAGAAAAATAAGTCTGGCTTTAACCTAAGATGTTTACTGGTAGTTATAGTTGATTTACATGAGGTGTTAAAAAGTCTGCCAAGGAAGATGTCAGATTAGACTTTAAAGTGACAGTAGTAATTCAGTATCAGGCTCTATACATTGCAAAGTCAATTTTTTTTTGTTGGTCATGGGGCTTGAACTCTGGGCCTGAGACCTGTCCCTTAGCTCTTCAGCTCACCAGCTACAGCACCACTTCTGGCTTTCTGGTGGTTTATTGTAGATAAGAGTTTCATGGCCTTTCCTGCCTGGGCTGGCTTTGAACCTTGATCCTCAGATCTCAGGTTCCTGAGTAGCTAGGATTATAGGTGTTAGCCACCAGTGCCCAGCTTGCAAAGTGAATTTTTGATAGATTCTTCTCCTTCTACTTTTTATGATATGACAGAGTTGAACTCAGGGCAGAAGCTCTATCACTTGTGCCCATACTACCAGCTCATTTTGCTTTGGTTATTTTTGAGATACAGACTTAAATTTATGCTCAGGCTGGATTAGATCATATCCTATTTACATTTCCCATATAGCTGATGATGACAGATGCATACCACCATGCCCAGTTTTTAACGTATGGACCTTTTTTTGCTCAGACTGGCCTCAAACCTCTATCTTCCTGATTTTCACCTCCTCAATAGCTAGCATTATAGGTGTGAGCCACCATGCCCAGCCTAGAGCTTACTTATTAAATGGAAATTTAACAGTTCAGTTTGGGAAGGAAAACTTCTCAAATGAAAAATCAGAGGTGTGAAAATAAGTAACTCACCGTGAGTTATTATGATGAATATTACAAGCTCGAGCCATTAGCACCACGATAATTGGTCGGAAGCCTTTGCCTTTTCCATCAAAGTAGTACTCAGACATTTCCTTAAGTTCTGTGGTAGATACGAAGACTTCCTAAAATAAAGTTTCTTTTTTGTCACATGACATCACAATTGCATAGAAAATCAACATTTCTTTTCCTTTTTTTTTTTTGCCAGTACTAGGGTTTGTACTCAGTGTTTTGTACTTTCTTGGATTGCTTGCTAGGATGGTGCTCTATTCCTTGAGCCTCACCTCCAGCCAGGCTTTCTGCTAGCTAACTGCCTGGGCTGTCTGTGAACTACAATCCTCTGGATCTTGCCTCCTGAACAGCCAGAATTATTAGGTTTGATTTAAGCTTATTCAACTCAATTGAGAAATTTAACATTCAGCTGGACAAGGCTCCCAACACTGTATGACCATAAATTTGACTGCCCCACAGGGCAGACAGCCATTGGCTCAGCCCCCTAAACCACCAGATGCCAGTGGCTCACACGTAAATCCTAATTACTTAGGAGGCAGAGATCTGAGAGACTCTTATTTCCAATTAACTAGCAAAAATCTGGAAATGGCTCAAATAGTAGAGTACCAGCTGTGAGTGAAAAACGTCAAACTAGAGTATAAGACTCTGAGTTCAAAACCTAGTACCAGCAGCGCATGCATATGCATACACACAAGCATGCATGTGGCCTCAAGGATAAAGCTGGTACTATACCACCTGTTCCATGGACAGCATCAGACACCAAGTAACTCCAACAGAGATGGGAGAAAGCACAAAGGGACCCAGCAATTCTGAGCTAGTGACAGCTGTACAGAGAAAGATACCAGGGCTGGGGAGAAGATTGCAGGAAAGGAGTAAGATATGGAGAATGTGGGCGTCTATGAAGTAGGTCACATTGTATTGCTCAAGGGAGATGGCAATGCTGTGTATCAAGGACAGGAAGACAGACAAGATGGCACTAGGGAGAAAAGCATGGGGTCAGTACCCCTGGCCACCTCTTTATTTGGCAGAAGATATTTCAAAAGTTCACAGAAGAAATGTATATATAACATGGATTGCCTGATTGCAAAGGAGCTTACCAATGAGTTGAGGAGATAAATATCTAAAAAATGTAAGGTGTTAATGGATAATACAGGAGTAACTTGAACAAGAAAACTTCTGTACAATTCCAAAGGTCACAGGAAGGCAGGCAATCCAGAACATGTGCATGGCTGCACAGAAAGGCACAGTTTAACTTTAGAACAACTACCTTTGGACTAAATGTTCATGAATATAACGATCAAATGCACCTTCATGCACACACTCGATATTCTTGGCTTCCTAGTGAGAAAAATAAATTTGGCTTCAGAGGAGCCAAAGGAAGATTAGCAGGGTTTTGATTTGTAAGGAGCAGAGAGGCCATTTCCTAGGGGCCTGTTTGTTGTATCTACCAATGGGGAACCAGTCTTGAGAGCCAGCAGGTCCCTCATTAAGGTACTAGATTTCAGAAATGGTGCCAAGCATTGTGAAAAAAGGCAGAGGTCACAAAGATAAGACGACCACTGCCCACAAGAAGCCCTAGGCCTATCAGGGGTGGGGAATGGCTCAGGGCTGGTGAAATCATTTGGTCTGGCCCTGTCAAGATAACCACAGGTGTGACTCAGAATTGGGCCTTAAGATGATGTCATCAATATCCAAATGGTCCTTGGCAGAAAGAAGGCTCTCTACCCCTGGTCTAGTTGGAGAGAAGTAAACAAGAAGTGCAGTTCAAGGAGGTAAAGGCAGTGACCCTGGGAGTACAGAGCCAAAGCTACTGTCTCGGACTGTGAAAGCAGTAATTACAGCAAGAAGTAGTCTGACTACACAGAGTTGAAGGGTGTGAGGGAAAAGGAAGCTGACAACTGGAAGATATTTCCTGGGTGATACCTTTAATGGCCAGGGCAATGGGGTGGGGGCAGTGTTAGTTCGTGAGGGAAAAGGAGTTTCAAGCATGTTAAGAGTGTCATGGACACTCCTACAGTTGCTTACTTCATGTTTAGGAAACACAATCAAATCTGAAGTAGAGATACTACTTATGAGTCCTAAGTACACATATGAATAAATATATAAATAGGTAGGTATGGTGGCCCACAGTTATGATCCCACAATTTAGGAGGCTGAGAAAAGAGAATCTAAAGTTCAAAGTCAGCCTGGGCTATATAAAGACTCTGTCAAAAAAAAAAAGACATATATAAATATGTAGAGGGCATAGAGAGATAAAGTGGCCAACTGAACCCCTAACAATGGGGTAAAGAGATTGAGGAACCCAAGAAGCAAACTGAGGAATAGCCTAAAGGATTTGGTATACAAGGAACATGGAAGCCAAGGGAACAATTTCAAGGAAGGGGTGTCAACATCATGCATTGCTGAAAAAAAAAAATCAAGAAAGATGAAAACAGGAAGGGTTCATTGGATTTAGTAAAAAGCAATTTCAGAGAAGGCTGAGATGGTAAATATGAAAGGTAAGAGTTGGGGGCTGGTGGCTCACGCCTGGAATCCTAGCTACTCAGGAGGCTGAGATCTGAAGATTTCATGCCAGCCCAGGCATGAAAGTCTGTGAGACACTTATCTCCAATAAACCACTCAGAAAATTGGAAGTGGAGCTATGGGTCAAGTGGTAGAGTGCTAGCCTTGAGCTGAGGGACAGCACCCAGGCAGATTTCAAGCCCCACAACTGACATAAATAAATAAATAAATAAATAAATAAATAAATAAATAAATAAGAGTAAGCCTGTGGGTCAAAGTCACATATAGTGGTATTTGTCTGTAGTCGTAGTTACTTGGGAAGCAGAACAGTAGGATCAGCATTCTGAGGCCAGTCCAAGCAATTAAAGACTATCTCAAAAGCAAAATAAAAACAAAGGACTGGGGGCACAGACTACCCCAAGAAGGAAGAGGACACTGGTGTGCTGGAGGCTGGAGAAAGGGAGGCAAGTACATACAGGTGTGGACGAAGCCGGAGCCTAAGAAGTTCTTCCTTCAAGACCCTTACTAGGTCCACTAAATAGCAAGTGGTGGGCTCAGATCAGTGACAAAGTGCTGGCTTAATATGTGGGAAACGAAAAGGAAGTGTTGCCTCCGTGAGGCTGAGAGCCAGTGAGTTGAAAACCTGGAATAAAGTCGAAACTGAGTTGGGAAGGAAGTAGATAAAGGGAATGTAGACATTTTTGATGTAGGATTTAATTTAATAAATGCGTAATTTTCTTTGGTAGTACTGAATTTGCTTGATATATACTTTAAAACTTGAGCCCTTTTTGATATAGCTATTTTTGGAATAGGCTCTCACTTTTCTGCAAGAGCCAGCCTAGATCATAATTCTCCTGTTTTCATTTCCTGTAGAAGCCGAGATGACAGGAGTACACCACTACGTTTTTGCGCAGACTGGCTTGGAACTGTGATCTTCCTAATTTCTGTCTCCTGAATATCTGGGAAGACAAGTATGTACCATCACAACCAGCTACTTATTGAGATGGGGTCTGACAAATTTTTGCCTGGGCTGGCCTCGAATCTCCCCAATTTCGACCTCCTTAGTAGCCAGGACTATAGGGGTGAGTGACCAATATCTTGCTTACTTATTTGTATTTAAAAAATATTCCACTGTTCAATCTATTTCAGTGTTAGCAGCCTACAGACACATAGGCTAGACCCTATGTGTCCAGGCTCTGGCTTGGGGTACTATAATTGACCTAGGGAGACCGACCTGCCACAAATCCAAACCCATGCATTGGGAAGGAATCCACATGCAGCTGAGAGTCACTTAAAGTTTTTGGGAGAAAAGTATTTAGCAAAGAAAGCCGTAACTGAAGAAGTTGAGCAATGTCATTCAGAATTAGATAGGAAGGACACTTTCAGGAGTCATTGGGTGGTATTGGGTAAGAAGCGAAGTTAGATAACTCACTGGACCATCTTTTTAGTTTCCCAACCCTGTAGTATGATGTCTTTCCAGACAGGAACTTTTACTGCATCCTTCACGTTGTCTAGAATCCTTTATTGCATCCTCCAATGTAAATCAAGTTTGCAACAGCATGGTACATATCTGAAAATGTGCACTATTTTTTTCACAATTATAAAATGTCACTAGGTTTCATAAACTAAATCATTACCTCATACCAGAGTTGTTGTTTTTTAAAGCCTTACCTTTCTAATGTCCTCATATAGACCTTTCAAGTCTTTCCAACCAAGTTTAAAAGGATCAGAATATTTCTCACCACTCTGTGTTTTACTACAGCAGAACACTGCTGGTGTCGTGTGATAAAACCTAGGGTAAGTGAAAATAAACACATCATTTTGAAGTGAGAATGTTATGTTTATATATATACATGTATATGTAGTAGACACACAAATTAAGCATGACTCTTAAAAGGTAGTTATGACGTAGAAAAACGCATAAATCTCTTGTTGATAAATGATGTATTAACAGATCATTCTTGTAAATGGGCCTTGAGAACTGAAAGACTAAGCCATGTATTTTGGGTTTAGTTCAAAGTTTATTATATTCTTATTTTTTGAAAAGGCAGAGATGACATAAAGCAGATACTGTTACACTTAAACATCTTATTAAATTGTTGGCTTAGCTGGGTGCCGGTGGCTCATGCTTCTAATCCTAGCTATTCAGGAAGCTGAGAATGCAGTTCCAAGCCGGCCCAGGAAAACAAATCCAAGAAATTCTTATCTCCAATTAACCACCAAAACACCAGGAGTACAGTTGTGGCTTAAGTGGTAGAGTACTAGCCTTGAACAAAAAAGCTAATTGAGAGTGAGGCCCTGACTTCGAGCCCCAGTACTGAAAAACAAAACAAAACAACATTGTTGGCCTATTCCACAATTAAAATAGAAATTTACTAGATATATGATTATTCTAGTAGCCTTGGTATCTGCAGGGATATGGTTACAGGGTAAACAATGTTGAGGAAAATCCATGAATGCTTAGGATACATGAGGCTCAATAATCTTGAAATTACTCAAATTTACCTATACTATACATACAGTGGGTATGAGGATCCATAACTCAAAATCACATGAAGCAGGCTATATTACTGTCACAAAATTAATGTTATATACATTAATACTGCTCATTAAAAATGGCTTATTTCATGATTTTCATTGTGAATATCTTGGATGCTTAATTCATTTTCCCCATAATGCTGCCTAACTTCCACTAGACATACTGCCTTATCAGAAGTTTAGTTTTCAATCAATTATTACTTACGCATATTATATTCCCTTTTAGTTAGAAAGATTACCGTAACTTTTACCTTGCTTCTTGGGCACCACTTGTTTTTGTTTTGTTTCATGTTGTGCCAGTTATGGGGCTTGAACTCAGGTCCTGGGTGCTGTATCTGAATTGTTGGGGCTTTTTGTTGGTCATGTGGTTTGAACTCTGGGCCTGGCACTGTCCCTCAGCTCTTCGGCTCAAGGAGAATGCTCTAACACTTGAGTCACAGCACCACTTCTGGTATTCTGGAGGCTAATTGGAGATAAACAGTCTCGTGGACTTTCCTACCCAGGCTGGCTTTGAACCATGATCCTCAGATCTCAGCCTCCTAAGTAGCTAGGATTACAGGTATGAGCCATTGGCACCTGGCTGCACCAGAGTTTTTTTGCTCAAGGCCAGCACTCTACCACCTGAGCCACACTTCCACTTCTGGATTTTTGGTAACTAACAAGAAATAAGAGTTTCCTGACTTTCCTGCCTGGGGGCAGGCTTCAAACCATGATCCTAAGATCTCAGCCTCCTGAGTAGCAAGGATTTCAGGCATGAACTACTGGCACCTGGCTTGCTTGTTTTCTTTCACCTGGCTTGCTTGTTTTCTTTCTTTCTTTTTTTGGTCTAGACTAGGGCTTGAACTCAGGGAGTCATGCTTTTACTTGGCTTTTTCCATTAAGGCTGGTGCTCTATCACTTGAGCCACATCTCCACTTGATCGTTAAATGCAGATAAAAAGTTTTATACATTTTCCTGCCCATGCTGTCTTGGAACTACAATCTCCAGATCTCAGTCTCAATGAACTAGATTACAGCCAGCATTATTTGCTTCTTTGGGAAGCATATTTGCACAAAATTAATGACAACTGCAGATCACATAATGACTTAAACACAACTGAAGATAACACAGAACTGACGAGTTTCTTTGGTCCATTGAGCTGCACTGATGCATGCAGGAAGTTTTTGACCACACTGAACCAAACTGCATATAGAAACCCCACAAGTCAGACTTACTGTATAAACGTACCTTGATATACTATGCACACTTGGAAAGGCAAGTGTTAAATTCTTCACAAGACTACAATAGGGAATCTAGAAAATAAAAGTATCAAGAATTTTGTAAGGCTATTCTTAAAAAACTTGTTTGTAACACAGGACAATATCCCATTATTCATAATAAGCACAATCTTTAAATCACCCATTTATAGGTAGATTTGCAAACTTCCCAAAAAGGTCACTATAAAATGTTTCCTTGGACTGGAAAGGTGGCTCAGTAGTAGAGTGCTTGCCTTGCATGCATGAGGCCCTGGGTTTGATTTCACAGTACCACATAAGCAGAAAAAGCTGGAAGTAGCACTGTGGCTCAAGTGGTAGAGCGCTAGCCTTGAGCTAAAGAGCTGAGGGACAGCACCCAGGCCCAGCATTCAGGCCCCACTACTGACAAAAAAAAAAAGTTTAATTTCCTTGTTACAAAAGCAATATATTTGTCATCACAGAAAACATAAGGGAAAAAAAAGAGGAAAAACTCATCTATAATCTATCTCCCTAACAAAAGCCAATTCCCACATTCCTTATCTATCTAGACCTGAAAAATAATTTTAAAACAATTTCATTTTATTTAATTAACTGCAACTGAGGATAGTGAAAACTGGTGGTTTATTTACATTCTATAATCCCCAAACTTGGAAGGCTAAATTCAAGGCCAGCTTGGATACAGGGAAACCTTTTCTTTCAACCTACCTACTTGGAAGTTAGAGATGAGAAATGGACGTTTGAGACTAGCAGGGACATAAAAGTTCAGACTCATTTCAATCTATGGCTAGGTACAGTGGTATGCCCCTGTTAATCTCAGCTACTAAGGTAGCAGTAGGAAGAGGATGCAGGCCACGCCTACTTACCCATGAACTACTTTGAAAATAAAACCAAAAGGGTCTGGAAGCTCCAATAGTAGAGCATTTACTTTACAAACACCAAGCCGAGTTCAATCCTTAGTACCACACATTCGTAGTTATAGTATAGTGCCTTGCATACGAAGTCAGAGGCCACAATTTCAAACCAGTACAACCAAAAAGAGGAATGAAAACAAAAACTATTATCTAGTCAGTGAGAAAGAGAAAAGATTTTACTATTAAGTTACTCTTAAACATCATTTACTTTTTTGTTACTAAGTGTACTTTGGGAACGATTTTTTACAAAATGGGGGCAGGGAAGTATAGCTCACTGGTAGAATATGTGCTCTGCATGAGTGAAGAAATTCTCATACATTTGGATAATGTTAATCAGAGATCAGACTACCACAGTAGACTCCTAAAATATTCAGAGGTGGTAACAAATATTAGTTTCAACGATTACTGAGTTTTGGGGTTTGTTCTTGGTGAAATTTTTGGTACAGTAGATTGAATTTAGGTCTCGGAAGTTGCTTGGCAGCTTTGTCATTTAGTCCCTAGACCCTAACTACCAGCCTTGAAGAATTCAGGAATCCAGACATTAAAAAAAAATTAGTAACCTTAATTTGCTGCAGGTTAATATGTGTTTTTAAACAGCTGAGGGACTTTTAAGCATAGAGAAGTAAAGTCTGAAAAACTGAAAGGATTAGAGTGCCGGCCTTAAGCAAAAAAGCTTAGGGACAGAGCACAGGCCCTGAGTTTAAGGCCCAGTACTGGCACAAAAATAAAAAACTAAATAGAAAAACTACAATTGACTTGCAGGTATGTCTAAAATGTCATAGGGAGAAAAAGCAGCTATAGAATTGCATTATGTGATCTCACGAAAGGACACATATACAGACACATACACACATGCCATACACACAAAAGTAAAACAGAGGAAGTGGCGCTGTGCTCAAGTGGTAGAGCACTCGCCTTGAGCTGAAGAGCTGAGGGACAGTGCTCAGGCCCAGAGTTCAAGCCCCACGACCGACAAAAAAAAAAAAAAAAAGTAAAACAGACAGGGTATGGAAGTATGTGATCCACAGTATTAAAAGTAGTTACTTTATGTTGCTATTTTTTTGTTTTTTGGTGCTGGTCCTGGGGATGAACTCAGGGCCTGGGTGCTGTCCTATTTGGTGCTCAAGTGGGACAACACCTCCACTTATAGGTTTTTTGGTAGTTAATTGCAGACAAGAGTCCCAAGGAAGGGTGTAACAATGCTCAATAGGAAATATACTCATTACTCATGTAACTGTAACCCTTCTGTACAGTATCTTTACAATAAAAACAAGTCTCAAGGACTCTCCTGCCCTGGCTGGTTTTGAATCCTAACCCTCACATCTCAGCCTCCTTAGGAGCTAGGATTGCTTGGTGTTAGGCTCAAAAAGTAGTTATTTTTGACTAAACAAAAGTGTGGATGCTTTTTGTTTTGTTCATTTTTGTTATACTTAAAATATATATATATTTTTTGCTAATGAACATATAATGCTTTAGTGTTATTAAAATGACAGTAAAGCTGGGCCCGGTGGCTTACGCCTGTAACCCTAGCTACTGAGGAGACTGAGATCTGAGGATCATGGTTCAAAGCCATCCTGGGCAGAAAAGTCTGTGAGACTCTTATCTCCAATAAATTATTCAAAAACTGGAAGTGGCGCTGTGGCTCAGGCGGTAGAGCGCTCGCCTTGAGCTGAAGAGCGCAGGGATAGCGCCCAGCCCAGAGTTCAAGCCTCACGACTGACAAAAAAAAAAAAAATAATAATAATAAAAATAAAATGATAGTAAATGTTGACTTTGACAGTGTCCAAGAAAACAACATTTATTCTATCCACTGTAGCATTATTTAGCCATTAAGCCAATAAGAACAGTTATAACATTCAGGCAGTTATGTTCCAAGGGAAGAAATAATCCTCACTTTTGATTTTACCATTATATGAGAACCGACTCGTTCTTTTTCTTTTCTCTTTTTTTGAGCTAGGAATGTAACTATGCTGCTGTGGCAGGCCTGCTTCAACCACCCAAAGGTGGGATTACAGGCCATCTGCCATGTGCTTCTTTCAGATTTCATGGGTAATAAATTCACACAAACGCAGTATTTTATTACAATACCTATAAATAAGGATATGTTCACGGAAGAGTATGCCTATTCAATCTAAGACCTAATGGCATTTCTCTAAACTGGGAGGAAATGTTAACATTACATGAGTACCACCAGGAAGCTCAAGACTGTACCAGTCTTTGGAGAATAACAGAGCCTGGTTCAAATCTCAACATTGCTTGGATGGGTCCAAGCAAGTGGAAATTGTCACTAAAATGACAATTTCCAAATAATAATGAATCATGGCACGATCATGTGAGAATTAATATGGGGTACAGTGTATGGAAAGTGCTTGGCTCAAAGTCTAGCAACCAACAAATAGTTTATCTTTAATTTGAAGAGTTTGGCATCAACCTAAGGCCTGGCCCATGCTAGGCAAGAGCTCTACCACTTAAGACTTATTAAAAACATTATCTATTCCATCAAGCTGTGTTCTCTTTAATAGTACTTCAGGGCAATGTTTTCCAAAGTTACAGCAGAGGCTCTCCCAAGAGGAGATAGTGCTTAGTGCTAGGTCTGTAATTCATTGCTAGTAGAGAAAATCATTTTCCATTTCCAGTTTCTTTCTTTCTTTTTTTTAATTTTTGGGTCCGGTCGTGGGGCCTGAACTCTGGGCCTGGGCGCTGTCCCTCAGCTCTTCAGCTCAAGGCTAGTGCTCTACCACTTGAGCCACAGTGCCACTTCCGGCTTTTTTCTTTTTGCTTATGTGGTGCTGAGGAATCGAACCCAGGGCCTCAGGCATGCAAGGCAAGCGCTCTACCACTGAGCCACCTTCCCAGCTCTCCATTTCCAATTTCTTTCCCCCATTACTTACTCTTCGTGAAAGTTAATCTTGCCACTCATGAACATTTTATCTTTCCTGTACTTGCTGATGTGGCAAATGGTTTACCACTTGAGTTACACTCCTAGTTTAGCAACTCACTTTAAAAATGTTTGATAGGAGCCAAAGACATATTGACAAGTGATTTATTACAAATGCACATTGATATTTTACTCCCTCACAAGATTTGTTAATATTTCAGGGAGATCTCAGGATAAAATACAAATGCCAGGAAGGAGCATAGCTATGTTGGAGAGCCAAACATGGCTTATCATTTCTCTTTGTCTCCAAATACAACTGAGTCCCTAAGACTTGGAACTAGCCACAATGTACATGTCTGATTCAGACACCTTAATGCTAATCTATCTGCCGGGGGCGGGGGGGGGGGGGGGGGGGGGGGGAGACGCAGAGGGAGAATCTCACCGACATAGAAATTAGAAATAGTACTGCCATCATCGGTACTATCTATGTTTTTGCATAGTACTAACATAGTATTGTATGCAGCCCCTCCTTGTGGTCCAGGAAGCTGATATGGGAGCCATGACTCTTAACGTTTACTTCAAGAAGTAATAGGTGAAATTTAACAATCAATCCCAAGGTTTCTCTCCTACCACCTTCTGGCCGATCTCCTTCGGGCTGCATCCAGATGTGCGCTTCCCGAAGCACCAGCTCTGGGACTGCAGCCCTGCGTACCACAGCGAGCATCAGCCCCGCTGTCCCTACTTGACCCTTTCCCACAACTATCCAAGGCCGAGGGAATCCGAAGTCGATCGGAGAGTGACCTTAGAGGACCCCCACCCCCACCCCCCCGAAGTCTAGAAGAGTCTGCCGCCGGAAGCCAGTTCTAGCTGGAAAAAGCTAACGGGGGGGGGGGGCGGAGGGTGCCCAGGCTTCGCCCCTCAGTCCGCGCCCCTCGCCACCCCGACCACCCCCGCCGTCTCCCCCGGACCCCAGGTCTGCACAGCTCCTCTCCCGATCCCCGCCCGCCGTCCCCCGGGCTCCCGGGCCGCCTCTCGGCACCTGCTCGTGGAGGCGTCCCTCCTTCAGGTACACGCGAGCCTCGCCCCCCGCCACCCCCGGCTCCGACGCACGTGCGCGTCGCTCCCATTCATTCCGCCACGCCGCTGTCATTGGCGCCGTGACCTCTGCGGCGGAGCGGGGCTCGGCCCTCCCGGCCTCACCTGCGCGCGACCGTCGGGAGCGGCGCGTGGCCCGAGCGACCCTGCACGGCCCGGACATCCCGGCCCGGGGTTCCGCGCCGCCGGCCTCCAGGAACAGCCGTGTCGCCACCGCCACCAGCGCGCGGCCATGGTTCGAGTCTGAAAGTCGCGGCAGGGGAGGCGACTCCGCCTCTAGCCCCACCGGCCCTCCTCCCGGAGCCCGGAGCCGGAAGCGTCACGCAGGAAGTGCTGAGGGGCGCGTCCGGGTGGGCACCGCTCGCTCCAGGCCCGCGCGCTTGGTTCCGGGTGGCGGCCGCGGCCCTGCGGGGGACCACGAAGGCGCGCGCCCGGGCAGGGAGAGCCTGGTGTCGCGGACGCGCGCGCTCAGCGCTTGCCCGGCGCCGTACGGCGACCAGCCGACGCTGCAGCCGCCCTTGCAAGCGTGCAACTGCGCTGGACCGGCTTTTAACCAGAGACGGTATCAGCTGCTGGTTGGAAAGGGAGCAGCTTTGCAGCCGCCAAGATAACATTTATCTTGAGTGTGTAATGAGACAGAAAAAGGATGCGAGGAATCAGGTTCCAGTTTTGCCACTGGAGCCTACGGTTTGCACATCTCTTGGTTTTGGGTGTGGCCGGCCACGCTGCCCTTGTTTTGCAGTCTGCCCTCCAAGGGAGTGCCAACCGTCTGCGCGTTTCCGGGAACGAGTCAAACCGTGATTGGTGCTATTGTGAAAAAGAAGCGACGCTGGCCCGGTCGCTCGACTTCTGGACTATCTCCTCTGAAAATCTTATCGGTATAGTGTAATGATTCTCACTCACGTCTGTGTGTTAGTCCCACTGAGCCTGCCCGCCTGGAAGTAGTTGATGTTGAGTTTGCCCGGGAGGTATTAAGAATGTACAGAAATTGCTATCCAGGCGGGATACCAGATGGTTAGAAGATCGTCCTTTAGTTCTTGTCTTGGTGCTGAGATAACGTTTTAATATCAGCAATCGTGACGAAACAGTTAAGCATTTAACTTATTCGTAGCGACCATGAGAGCCAATGAAGAGAGTTTAAGCATCAGAGATGCTGAAATATGAGAAACTTGAGTCGCCAAAAAGTTCACTTCTTAGCAAGAAACAGGCCAGCAAAAGGGTATTTCAATTCCCTGATGACTATTTTCTCTTCAAGTTACCTGGAAACCACGTCTGTAATCAGTTAAACTTAATAGGGTGAGATCTGAGATCGCAGTTCAAAGCCTGTCCAGTCCAGTTTGGACCTTGAGACTTTTTTTTTGGTGTGGGGGGGGCAGTCCTAGGGCTTGAACTCAGGGTCTGGGCACTGTCCCTGAGCTTCTTTTGGTGATAGGCTAGCGCTCTACCACTTGAGCCATAGCCACTTCCGGCCTTTTCTGTTTATGTGGTACTGGGCTTCATGCACTCTACCACTAAGCCACATTCCCAGCCCGGGCCTTGAGACTCTTAGCTCCAATTAATCACCTAAAAAGCCAGAAGTAGAGCTATGGCTCAAGCACAAGCCTTGAGTGAAAAAACTAAGGAACAGTACAGTTAGGGAGGGAGGGAGGAAGGGAGAGATGGGGAGGATTGATTTACTGAATTAAAAAGGATCCAAATAAGCCAATTTTATATTGCTTTCCCCATATTTATATAGAATACCATACAACAACATATAGGGTTTTTTTTGTTGTTGTTTTTGTTTTGGTCGGTCGTGGGGCTTGAACTCACAGAAAGCTCTTCCGGTTTCCTGTGGTTTATTGGAGATCAGAGTCTCACTGTCTTTCCTCCTCTGGCTGGCTTTGAACCATTACCCTCAGATCTCAGGGTAGCTAGGATTACAGGCTTGAGCCACTGGAGGTGGGGCAGCACCATAAAGTATTTCAAAAGGATGACTTGTTAATATGTTTATTTTGGTATAGATTAGATCTATGTGTTAGGAAACATCCAAGAGAATTTGCGAAGCTACACTGTAGTAATAAACTAATTATATTTGTGACAATCTTATAATTAGTATGTCATCACACACACTTCAAAAAAAAATAACAGAATTAAGCCACAGTTGGCAGCATACCACTAGACAATTCTACCATCAGATTAACCCAAAAGTCTTGACATTTTTCTCTCCCTCTCCTTGTTTCTTTTACTTTTCCTTCTCCTCTTCCTTCTCTCCTTATTCCTTTCCTCCTTGATCCTAAGTTTCCTGGGTAGCTCAAATTACTAGCCTCAGCTACTAGTGCCCAGCTGTTTCCTTTATTTCTTTTATTTTTTTTGGGGGGGGGGGAGGGGGTGGTGTCTGGTCATGGGGCCTGAACTCTGGGCCTGGGCGCTGTCCCTCAGCTCTTCAGCTCAAGACTAGTGCTTTACCACTTGAGCCACAGCGCCACTTCTGGCTTTTTTCTTTTTGCTTATGTGGTGCTGAGGAATCGAACCCAGGGCCTCATGCATGCAAGGCAAGCGCTCTACCACTGAGCCACCTTCCCAGCCCCTCCTTCATTTCTTGTAAGCTTTCTGAGGGGCAGAATCCACATGACATAGTGCCTAGCATATTTTGGATCCATTGAGTTGACTTGGATTCTAATACTGAAATGCAGTTCACTTCATTTTTTTTTGAAGTGGTATCTTTTTTTTATTGTGAAAATACTGTACAGAGGGGTTACAATTACATGGGCAAGATAATGAGTACATTTCTTATCAAACATTGTAGCCTCCTCCTTTGTTTCCCCTTCCCATCCTATCCTCCCCTCACTCCCCCACCCAACCTTCCCCCCCCCACCAAAGTTGTAAAGTTCGTTTTCGACATAACGACTTGTACATCTCATTGTTGCAATGGGTCCACCTGTATCCCTATTTAAACGATTTTGTTTTTCCCCTTCCCCTCCACAAATTATACCGACATCAAATACAGTGAAAGCAGGGGTTATTCCTTGGGGGAGGGACATGCAAAGCAACAAAGAAATAATCTTATAAATGTGTTAGAAACAATCACATGAAAGAAAAAAAAACATTTGAATACATATCTTAGGGTTCATTTCCCTAACATCAACTTATCTGACCTTTTCTGCTTGACTCAGACATATACTAGTTATTGCAAATAAGGGAAACCATGGGACCTATGTATTTTGGGGCCTGGCTTACTTCACTTAATAGAATTTTTTCCAAGTCTTTCCATTTCCTAACAAATGGGGCAATGTCATTCTTTCTGGTGGAGGCATAGAATTCCATTGTGTATATATACCACATTTTCTTGATCCATTCATCTACTGAGGGGCATCTGGGTTGGTTCCATATCTTAGCTATGGTAAATAATGCTGCAATAAACATAGTTGTGCTGGTAGCTTTAGTGTGTCTTGTTTGTGATCATTTGGGTAAATGCCCAAAAGTGGGATTGCTGGGTCATAGGGGAGCTCTATGTGGAGTCTTTTGAGGAACCTCCGTACTGCTTTTCAAAGTGGTTGAACAAGTTTACACTCCCACCAACAAGGCAGTAAGGTTCCCTTCTGTCCACATCCCCTCCAGCATCTGTTATTATTAGAGTTCTTGATTATAGCCATTCTAACTGGGTTGAGGTGGTATCTCAATGTTCTTTTGATTTGCATTTCTTTTATGGCTAGGGAGGTTGAGCATTTCTTCATGTATCTATTGGCCATCCTTCTTTCCTCTTCAGAGAAGTTTCTCTTTAAGTCTTTATCCCACTTATTTATTGGGCAGTTGTTTCTTTGAAGATTTGTTGTTGGGGAATTTAATTTTTTGAGTTCCAGGTATATTTTAGATATGAGACCCTTGTCCATTGTATGGCTAGTGAAGATCTTCTCCCAATCTGTGGGCTTTCTATTGATCTTGCTAGCTATGTCCTTCGCCATGCAGAAGCTCTGCAATTTCATGCAGTCCCATTTGTCCAACCTTTCTTTGATTTGTTGTGTTTCTGGGTCTCTGTTAAGAAAATTTCAGCCTGTGCCAAAGAGACCTAGCAGTTCACTTTATTTTATTCATTATTCCCAGTTGTAAAAATGTTACATAGCCTATAAAAATGTTACACATACTATACTATTGTCTCGAGTAAGTAAAAATCATTATAGACAGGATATGTATCCTGTTTTAATTTGTTTTTCTTTTGGTAGATCCATATACAGATGAAGTGTCCCTTATCAGAAAATTTGAAATAGAAGTGTTTTGGGTCAGGTGCTGGTGGCTCAGGCCTATAATCTTAGCTATGGGACAATCTTATTTCAAAGCCAATCCTGGGCAGAAAAGTCTTTGAGACTCCATCTCTGGTTAATCAGTGAAAAGTCAGGCTGGAGCTATGGCTTAAATGGAAGAGCATCATCAGCGTAGGAAGCTGAATAGTGAGTTCAAGCCCTGGTACTGGCAAAGAAAAGCAGTATTTTGGATTTTTGAAGATTATAGAGTATTTATGTATAAATAGTGATACATATATGTGGGGATAGATAGATAGATAGATAGATAAGCTAGGTCCCAAACATGAAATTCATTTCTATTTGATGTAGCACTTAGACACATTGCCTAAAGATAACTTCATTCAGTATATTTAGTGCAGCTGCATTTCAGCTATGACTTGTCTTGTGAGATCAGATACAGGATTTTCACTTGAGGCATAATGTAGATGCTGTGAGAATGTAGAATTTTGGAGAAGTTTGAGTTTTGGATCATCACATTAGTGTTGCTTAATATATACTATACTATGTGAGTACTGGAGAGAGTTAAAATTGATAAAAGTAGTCTTCTGAATTATGAGATCTGATGAAAATAATTATTTAAATTGGTGTTTTGAAAAGCCATAGTTCTTCAAAGGAATGTAAATACTGTATATGAAACAGATGAGAACATTAAGACGGGTTTTCTTTTCTTTTTCTTTTTTAATCAGATGTGTTGCCAGTTGATCCTGTTAATGAAAATTATGTTCGTAAAGTGAAAAACTGTATTTTTTCAGTTGCCTTCCCTACTCCTTTCAAATCAAAAGTACGTCTTGTAGCAGTTTCAAAGGTTAGACTTTATTTTTTCATACCACAGTGTAGTTTGGCAAATTTAGTTTTACTAAATCAAGTACTTTCTTAGAGTTAATATTGTTCATCTATTGATATATGACAATCATCATAGTTAAAAGAAACTGTAAATGTATTGGAAGCTATCATTCTTATGAATCACTTTTTAATTCTTTTGTTTTTGTTTGTTTGTTGGTCGTGGGGCTTGAACTCTGGGCT